GCTTGTGGTCACTAAAATACAGCAGCATGTTTTCTGTGAGTGTGGGGATGTTCTTGAGTTTCCTTTCTAAATTTATATTCTTTTCTTCATTCCCTATTTTTTTCAAGTAATTTGAAGACTGTATTCTGCTTTCTCTAAACAAAACTAAAATGGGATGTCACTGTAATTCTTTGCCTTATAATAAGACTCTTTTAGGAATGGATTAAAAAGATTCTCCTTTAAGGAAAGGTCATAAACTAGAATCTAAGTTTCCTATAAAAAGAATAAAGAGTCCGGCCAGCATGGCTCAGTGGTTGAGTGTCAGCCTCTGAACCAGGAGGTCTCGGTTCGATTCCTGGTCAGGGCACATGCCCAGGTTATAGGCTCCATCCCTGGTGTTGGGGTGTGCAGGAGGCAGCTGATCAATGATTCTCTTTCATCATTGTTGTTTCTATCTCTCTCTCCCTCTCCCTTCCTCTCTGAAATCAATAAAAATATATATATTTTTAAAAAAGAATAAATACAAGTCATCATTTTATCTGTTATATTGTTAGCATATAAGTTATATAGAATTATCTTGTGGTGAGGTCTTCAGAACATTTTAATTTTTTAGTATCAGCATTTTAAGTGGTTTCCATTTGTGTAAGGTAACAATATAATAACTTCTCAAAAGCGTTTTGTTGAGGCTCCTTCCATCTCTTGGGTATTGTTGCTTTTTAATGCTAGCTATTCAAGTTTACCCTCAAAGTTAGCAAACCTACTACAGTCTCTCCCCCCACCCCCACGCTGACTGCTTTGAAAATGGTCAGAACAGGATTATAATGCACAAATCTTTCTCTGAATATTTCCTTATGTTAGATCAGTTCCTTCTGAGTTCTGTGCTTGCCAATGCTAAATTTCCTGCCAGGGCAGTAGTCTATTTTTAACATTTTGGGGGCTTAGTCTTCGTTCCAAATCTAACAGGCAGATTCTGTTGAGTGAAAGAGAGAAAGCGTACTGGATGCATTTACAAATCAGAATCATCAGGATTTGCAATTTCTGTAGAATTAAAGAATTGAAGGAGAAAGACCAATTAGAATACTTAAAAGATCATTTGTCATCACTTTAATCTTCATGTATTTTTTACTCATCATTTTCTTTGACTAAAATTATTAGAGTCTTTGTCATGTTCATCTCAAGGCCAAATGGGAGCAGTAATGTTCATTTTATATTTTCAATATTTGGAGCATTGTAACATGTCATGCTAGATTATAGGTGGTAGATGACTGTTTTAACAGAGAGAGTTTTAGTTTGTGTCATATTCAGCATCGTATTATCTCAGTGTCATGTCTTTGAATTTAATTCCATGTTTCATAAACATAAATGAAGACTGAGGGATTTATTTTGTTATTGAATAGCATTTGTTTAATTCAGAGATTAATATATCATCTTCAACCCTGAAACAGAGGCCCTCTGAAACATCAGACCCAAAAAATTGGACACGGCCTATTAGCCAAAAGAACATGTTGCCAATTATCTCCATGTTTATTTAAATATTTAGCTCTAAAGGAAGCAATCATTCCTTTATACTTCTTTGAATTTAGTATCGACATTTTTATTTTGGGAAAGGAGGTCTTTTTTCTTTTTTCTTTTTTTTTAACATGGATACAGGAAAAGAAAACTCTCCAATAAAAATATTGTCTAAAAAGTTTGTTTTGTCTGCATGATTTACTAAATATGTACAATTTCAATTCACAGCGAAGGTAACAAAGATTTAAACAGCCAACATCACAAATGTCTCAAGTTCTAAAAAAAAATCACTGTGCACAGTTTAACAATTTAATTGAATAAAAAACCAAAGCTAAGCCTTCAGTCGGAGTCTTTTTTATGATGGGCACAAGCCATGTATTTTCTTCATCTTTGTTACACGATGCATATTTCAGTGACTAAACGCCCCTTCCCATTTTAGTATATTAGGTTATGTCAGTACATACTTAAGGGAGGCCATAAATTGCCTCTCGGTACACCTATATGATTTGTGATGTGTTCACATATATGTCATATTTATTAATATATAAAATGATCAGATGAGTCATTTGTGATTTTTTTATGTCTTCAAATGTAGGAATGTTTTGTTGCATGTATAAAAAATTTTTAATTAATGGGAGTGGTATTTAAAGTGATAATAATTTGACCAGAGTCCCATTGACGTAAGAGGTCTAGAAAGAACTATTCTGCACTTGAAATATAGAGATTTTACATCTCTACCCAATTCAGGTTTGTAAAGTTTGTTATTATATGAATCCAAATGCTGTGGTCATTCTGATATAAAGATCAAGTGAATGAACCAATTAATCATTAGAAACAAATGCCATTGAATTCAGAATAGTTGAGTTACAGTTAAGAAGGGAGCCATAACTTTGGCTAACCCTATAAAATCTATAATAAGGTTGTTTTCATATATATGTTTTCCCACGTAAATTCTTTGGTGTTGTTCCCCCCTCTTTTTATTAATGCTGTGATTGATGAACATGCAATGTGAGATTCAAATAATTGCACTGAGCATGTTTATTTGAATAATTGTCCCATTGCACCATCAAAGATATAAGCTGAGTGTGTTTGAATGTTCTTACATGTACATGGGATCACATACTCAAATAAATGCAGCTGTGTTTATTACAATGTGTGGGGCTCCACATATACACATGCTTGTTTGTGCGTCTATCCAGGCCCCTTCAGCCCTGAACGGCCCTCACACATCTTAGAGCAAAAGCGTGGTTAACAATTTTTCAGTTTAAATACATGTAAACTTATGATGGGGTAACCTCCTCAAACTTGTGACTAAGATTTGCTTTCATTAAGGCTTACATCCTTAGAAAGATAGAAAATAACCTTTTGGGGGGAGCTGTCTGATTCGTGAAAAGTATCTAAGAAATGTATTCACATTTATTCAAATAGAATCCCTTCTTTTCTCCTTCCTCAAGCCCTCCCACTCCACCCCAGTCTAATTCACGCTAAAGAAGATGTATGCTTTGCTTAATTCTTGATGAAAAGTCCTGATACTCATCTCTCTGCCCAGTCATTTCAGGCCTAGGCCCACAGTGTCTTGTGGAAAAAAAGAAAAGATTGCACAGATCTTCTAGAATACAAAGGGCTTTTGGAGAAAATGGACAGGGATGTTTAATTGTTCCAACTTTTCATCACCCTCTCTTACCCCCTATTCTAGAGAAAAAAAAGGGGTTAGACTTCAAACCTAGAGTGTGGGAAGAGTAACTATTTGATAAGAGAAAAGAGAAAAATACATCTGATGTTACTAAAATACTTGTCTCTTGATTATGGAGTGGGATACCTTGTTTTGACCTCGGAAAGGAATCTTAGGATATGTCAAACATTTTAATACTTCCCTAGCGTTGTAGGATTATGCAGGACTAATACACAATAGTGTTAGTGGATAAATGGCATTTTAAAAATCTTAGACATGGGATAGTGTAGTGATTGTCACAAATTTACAAGTGTTATCCTGATATCTTCAGACTCAGGTATTCTGAGTCTGCCTATGAAATGAACTTAGAAAAAAAATGACACAGAAGAAGTGACAGGAGGGAGAAGACAGAGTCTACCCACTGTCCCAAGTGAATGTTTCCTTCTTTCCAAGGAGAAAGAATAGGTT